GCGTAATACGGAGAGAAAGAGAGCGCGGAAAGGATAGGGAGAGGGAGAGAGAGAGAGAGAGAGGAGGGAGGACGGGCGGGCGGGAGGGCAAGAGCTGCCGCATCAGAGGCAGAGAGAGAGGGAGAGAGGGAGAGGGAGGAACATAAACCCTTATCGAAATCGTGATTCACCCCACATTCTCCGGAGACCCCCTAACCTATTAACATCCATATCACAATAACAGATACACGTGTACGCCGTACTGTATTCCCACACTGTCGTCGTCTCGCTCTCCTTACCCGTTCTCGCATCGCTTGTATTCGTAATTACGCTCGCGGCGTATCGCGAAAAAAAGGAAGCTGAGAGTGACAGAGAAAGAGAGAGAGAAGGAGGAAAGAGAGGAGTGGTAAAGTGGCCATAATGTGCCGCGGGATTTCGGGATTAAAATGAAATTTCGATCGCGCTTTCGTCGAGCCGCGAGGCTGCCGAATTCTCTCTCTCTCTCTCTCTCTCTCCCTTTTTCATTTATCGCGATAAAGCAATCACGCGTAATTTTCGCGTATATGCGAAAGTTTTCTTCTCTCTCTCTTTCCAATTAGTTGCGAATTCATTTATAATTATTACCTTTCGTTCGGTTTATCGTTAGCGCGATATCAATTTTTTATTTGCTCACGATCTGATTTGACATTAAAATTCAACATGGAAACATAAGGAAACTACTGTATCGAGACTTTCGTAGATTTCATAAATATACAATTCTATCGAATATCGAAGAGATGCGTTGATTGCCATTGTCTCTTTGTTGCAGAAATTGTAGATGAAAAAGTGGGCATATCTTGAGTGTAGCGTATCATTTTACTGACAACGCTGACAAGAAGGCATCTCGGCAAAAGTTTCGACAAACCCTTGGACTAACCAACCAATTATTTAAAAAATACGACGCGTGAATAGGATTGAAGAATGTGTGAATAAAATTAACGGGGATGGTGAACAAAAAGGAAGCGTAAGTAAAAAATGAAAGAAAATTTTTATGCGCTGTATATTTCAGGGATTCTGAAGCTGTGAGGATGTACCGAGGGGTTAATGAGATTTTTTAACGTGTCAGGAATGAAGGCGTGAAAGGATTTGCTAAAACTGGTTGTTTATTAACAAACGATATTTGTATCTATCGCAACTGTAACACAAATGATTGGATCTCGCGTATCAAATACTTAACGGGCGCTCACGCGAATAGCGAGGAAGAGCGCACGGAGAAATAAGTAAACGGTCTTAACTGTATGAAAGCCGGTACACGAATCGCACACATACATATTTAGAAAATAGAACAAAGAGATATAACAAAGAGCGGTACAATATTGTTGTTGGCGTTTCATAATTGCAGTCACAAAAGACCTGTTCGTGCCCTATCCAACGATCTTGGCGATCTTGTAATGGCTTCTTAGAATCCTTAATGATCATCGATGAAGTCATAAAGTATCGGACATTTTGTTATATATTTTTCAGCGTATTATAGTAAATATATATACATATAAAGTATATATAAACTAGTATAACACAACGCGCGCTTCGCGCGCGCTATTAATTCTTTTTCATTAAACATTTTTAACGATATATACACAAAATAACTGTCAAAATATGACAGCCGCTCACGAAGTAAGCGCAATGACAAAACCAATCAGCATCGCGGAAAAGCGACAACAATACACTTCGAGACTTTCGAGAATCGACTTAACATGCCTTTTTTTACGGAGGGGTCGACTTAACATGCCTTTTTTACGGAGGGATCGACTTAACATGCCTTTTTTACGGAGGGATAAAAAATAAAATATATATAAATATATAAAATATATATAAAAATATATATGTATATATAAGATTGCGAACATCAGATCGACGGGCAAGAGGTAAAAGTTTAAAATTCGATAAATCATTAACCACATTTGTTTAGCGATAATATATTTTTATTTCTCGTTGCACAGCTGATTTTAATTGCTTCCCAACGAAAATTTTTTGATGCTAGAAATTCAAAGTTGAATATCAAATTTCGATCAATTTCGCAAGAATTTACGGCTCTTACATATATAAATTATATATTTATTATACTATTATATTATTTACATGGAAAATCATTCTCTCTTTCACGCACACACGCACACAAACATGCATACTTTGTTCTTATCAGATCTACAAGTCCGATATTATCGTGAATAATTTCTGCAAATACACTAGTTATCTCCTTTAATTCGCTCTCTGTTGATACTACATGTAATTTCGGAAATGCACTCGGTTGTATATTTAAACAAGACATGTACATCAATGAGACATATTAATGCCAGATAATAATAATCAACTGATAAGCCATGATATTAATTGACCGATAAACTTTGACATCATAATGTAGAGCGTATTAAAGGTTTGAATCGGCTGTTGATTTCACATTCTCCCATTTCTCAAACGAAACTATCCGTATGAAAACTGAGCAATTCGACAGATTGGCATCTTTAGCGTTACAAGTTAAAGATTCGAGTTAAAGCGCGATAGGATCGAGGCATTCGTATCGTTACGATCGTGGCGGAGGGCGAGAAGAGGACGAGGGGAAAGGTTGGAAACGCGCTCGCCCCGTTTACTCAAGCGGAGAAATGGAAGCTGGTTTTCGGACAGACACCCAGTGCATCGAGATAGATAGGTAGATAGACGTCCGGATAGATGCATGCCACGGCAGGCAGGCAGCCGCCGTGTGTAAGGGATGCCAAGGGGGTGTGTGGAGAGCGCGAAGAGAGGGTGGATCGTGGCGAGATCCAAAGTGGAGAAGGAGGAGGATGAGAGAGGGTGGAAGTGGGCGAGAGCGCGAACGCGCGCGAACGAGTGGCGCGGGGATACGCGGAGAGGGTGACGGGATGACGTGGAAGAGGGCGAGCGGGTGGGTGGGCGAGCGGGCGACGCGGGTTCTCTCGCTGATTACGTCGCAGGATGGTCAGGAGAGAGAAACCCCGGAGAGGATGCTGTGCTACGCCGTTGGTCGGTCGGTCGGACGGTCGGTCGGTCGGTCGGTCGGTCGGTGGTGGTGGTGTGGAGAGCGCGAGGAAGAGGCTGGCGCTGGCTCTCTCGTCGCTGCTGGATAGAGGCGAATATATCCGCAATGTCCTACCGCCGCCAACTCTACGCTCTCTCGACGCGCTCTATCTCCCTCGTCGTCGTCGTCGTCGTCGTCGTCGTCGTCGTCGTCGTCGTCGTCGTCGTCGTTCCGAGTCCTCCAATCCGCCTCTCCCCCTCCGCCTCACCCACCCTCCGACTATCCGCGGTCTCTGGCCTTCCTCCGCGATCTCGCTCTCGCCGTCTTTGTCGTTCTCGCGTCGGTGATTCGCGTGTATCTATCCTCTTCCCTCCGATGAGGAAGCTTCCAGGCTGGCGAGGCCCTAAGCTAAACTAAGCCACGTCAGGATAGGATAGCGCCGGGAGGATAGGATGGGATAGGATGCTCGGTCGGATAGTAGTGCCCATCTACCTTCTCGCGCACACAACAAGCAGCGGGTCGGCGACGAGGAGAATGACGACGACGACGACGACGACGACGTCGGCGACGGCAACGGCGACGACCCCTCGTGCACAAGCATCCACCTTCCTCTCCCTTCTAATACTACCATCTTCCTTTCTCTTAGCTTCGACCGTGTCTCGCGATCTTCGTCGACCCTCCGCCCTTTCTCGCTCAAGCGTCCCTCGCGCGCCATCGCGCGTTCTCCCGCTTCTTCCACCCTCTCGCTCGATCCGCTCGCTCTGCACGATCTGCCTGCTTTTCTCCGTCAGCAACACCACCCACGGAACCCCCGGGGGGTTAGTTAGGGGTAGTATATTGACGGCCGGCGTCGCGAGGACGCCTATACTTAGCGTGCCGGCGAACCGACGCGTTTCCAGCAAGGTGTCCCTCCACCTCCTCCTCTTACTCCTTCTCTTCTTCCTCCTCTTCCTCTTCTAGCCCTCTTCGTCCAGCCACCCTCGGGTCACCCTTCACGACCACCTTCTCCGGCCACCCTATTCTACCACTCTCCGCCTCACACCCTTCACGTCCTCCGTCACACGGCCGTGGCGGCTTCTCCCTCGTCGTTCGCGACCCCTCGCGTCTTCGTCCACCTTCCATCCCTCGAACACCAACATCTACTCCATTCCGAAGCTTCTTCCACCTCGATCGAGGTATCGAGAAAGCCGCCTCGTCGTCTCCTCTTGCGCGAGAACCGAGCGGCAACCCGGTCCAAAATTACGCCAGCAGCGTGATACGGTGGGATGGGAGGGGGAGGGGGAGGGACGGGGGGAGGTAGACGAGTTTCTTACGACGTCGAGCCATGTTGCGACGTTGGGCATCGAAATCGATGCCTCCGGGCACCGGCAGAGCTTCGTGACGCACCTGATACGCGAGAACACGGGACGAGAGAGACGAGCGAGTGAGAAAGAAAGAAAGAGAGAGACAAGGAGAAGGAGAGAAGAACGCGAGGAGTTGATTAGGGAGCGACCGAGCGAAATTATGTATACGTCGAAGATGATGGCGACGGTGCACGCGATGGACTCGAGGAAGAAGAAGGCCGAGGGTGATGTTTCTTTGTCGGGTGCGCCGATTCGGCGAGATCGCGGATATATACCGGGCGGTCGATCCGATCTCGATGCTCGCGAGTCCGCAATAAGAGAGGCGCACGACCATGCGATAATTTCGACGATATCGACGTAATTTCGACGTCAATTTTCGATCCCGTGGCAGAGATACGATTAAAATTCGTATCACTATATTATACTACCGTTCCCGTTCTCATTAGCATAAGCGAGATAAATATCTGTTACGATTCCTCTCGGACATCTCTCGTCACGGTAGTGCAAGCTGCCGCCGCGAATTAATAATGTCTTAAACGAGGAGTTAACTCGCTGCAAATTGTTTCCGTTAAGGTAATTTGCAAATTAATCTTTAGTCGCTTTAGTTTAGCATTATTTCTCCTTTTGTCGCGCGTGTAATTTTGGTTTCCCGTAATTCTCGCCACTCCCGCGTGGCGCGTGTCGCGATATTTTCATCAAATTTCGTCGATCATCACATTAACAAAGGGTAGCATATATTAAAAAAGGTGTTTCTCGAACGAGAACGATAATTGAAGTATATTGTTTCCGAGTGGCACTCGATTAAAACCTACCTTTGAGGACTTGAGATCGCAAACGTAGACTTTATCGTCGCAATCTTTGTGTTTCGCATTCTCTCTCGTTCGTGTGTTTATTTCTTATTCTCTATTTCTGAAACGATTAGTGGCCAAATGTAATAAAGGGCAGTTAAGGTATACTCTTAAGCGGAAATTATCCGGTTAACATCTCGTAACTAAGTTTCACAAGTTTGCACAAATACATAATAATCCGCGAGAGAACTCGGAGGGTTTAAAGCGGTAGCGCGATTGTAATTGCTAATCTCGCGAATCGCAAAAAGAACGCGATATGAAATTAACATCCATAAATATTCGCTTAACTGCTCAAGAGAGACGTAAAGAGACATTATTACAACTTCCTTTCTGTATACATTTCGATGGAATAAGGACGCGATTATATTCTTAACGCGTATACACCTATCGATCGATATCACACGTGAAAGAGATAATATTATATTATTATCATTTGCATGATACTACTTTCTCTCTATTATTATTATCGCTCATGCAATAACTTAAAAATTAAGAGAACATTTTTGTCAAACATAAAATTTGACGGGCAATTAAACGATAATCGATTGAAATGCCAAATTGACTAATACACGCGTAAAGTATCGAATCAATTTCGTTTGATTCAATGTATCATCGACCGTCAATTCGCGTACAGCGGACTTTGAGAGAACCTGAAGATTCCCACCGAAAGGGTTCACGAGGCCGCCACGTGGGTAGTTGAGCCCGGGGTTTTACGGGGAATATAACGTCATCGCGGTTCTCTGTCTCTCTCTCTTTCTCTTTCTCCGTCTCTTTCTTCCTCTCGTTAAAGGCGTAGTTG